TAGTGCAAAAGGGGGATTTCAAAATCTTAAAGGTTAAAAAAAGGTCGAGGAAGAGGTGACAGTGCTTATTCATCATAAACTAAATGTAATTCTGGAGGCACTTATGGGTGCAAAACAATGCCTTTATTCTTTTCATGCCAGCATCTGAATTTTAAAGGTTTTTCTGTTTTCAATCAGGTTATTTCAAACTTTGTTGATATAAATAAAATTCTTAAAGCAGAAATGAGTTCAGTCAGGGTACGGCATATCTGAGTAAAATATCTCTGATGAGCACGTAGTTGTGAGAATGTGAAAAAAAATCCCATGCCTCATTACAGGGAGGCATGATCTTGGCATATTTCTCGTGAATTCAACTCAACCATCTCATTTAACCATGTCATCTTTTTCATTAAAATTCTGGATCTTCACATGAGTGAGTTTCCATGATGACCGCAGTTACGCAAGCAGAAGAGGTGAAAACAAAAGCTCAATGGAAAAAGATCTGATAACTTATGACTTAAATTATGGTGTTTGCATCACATGCACTTAAGACCACCTGGCGTCGGGCAAAGAAAGAAGAGGAAATTAATCAAGATAGACCGATCTGTAAGGGCTGGATCGTGCTTCGTGCGTGTGCAACGGGAACTTGACGCCACAAAATATTTATTGCGAAACTCGCCTTATTCGAAATGGCCAAATTGTCGCAATGAGTACAAAGTCGCTGTGAACACAGTAAAATAGCCGTTTTGCAGTCACAACGGGCAGGGTCACTGTAAGCATATTAATTTCAGTAGGCTAATCTTCAAAAGCACAACCCAGAATTAGCATTTACGCGTAAATTTATATTTTCACGATGAAAAAAGCACCCTATACTAGGCTTATCGCACCTGAGATTTCTTGATTGATTCTTGGGATATGATTTTCAAAGCTTATTTCTAGACTTGCATCAAGTCAATTATGGTCTGAACTGAAAATCACATTATGCTTTAGAGTGCAATGCATGTATTACTTGTGGCACAGTTTGTACAAAGCATGAACAGGGCTTGATTACATGCTAGTGATAAACTTTTTTTGTGTTTTGCTTTGGCGCTTTCAATTGAGCTGTGGATTTTGTCATTGACTCCATCACCGTTATAACTGTCATTCCTTATAAATGAATGAGATTCGATCACAATGTTTACAACTGGACAGGCATGTCCACTGGTGAGAACATACTGGTAATGGGCACGTCCAGTCATAAAAATAGTATGTAAATGAATGAACACATAGGTATGAGCATTTCATATGCACTCGTGCCTCTTTGTAGTTAACTTGAAATAACTGTTTCTGAAATAAGAGTGAACACTTCTGCAAGTTCCTAGATGAATAAAACATTATAATGTGTGCAGGAAGGTGTGAGTACTCATTCCACTCCCAAATAAATTATCACCTCATATGGGTAAATATTCACTGGTAAAGAAAAACTGTGTTAAGTCTCCACCCATGCCTTTGGAGTATGCACAGGACATGAAATATTTATGAATTATTTTTGGCGTCACGACAGAAAAAATGTGGGATGATCAAGTTACAGGACATGGTACAGTTCTCACTTCGTAATTTAAAGAAATACAGGGCAACAGGGCACAGACCAACGTGTCAAGGCTGTGACTCAATCGCAGCAACACCTCTTGACACTAACGTTCCCAAAGCTGCAGCCTTTTTACCTTGTGTGTCTTCTGGGAATATGTCTAACAAACATAGCTTACATTACCACATCTATCTTACTTCAGGAATAAACTCTAAACTCTGAAGGAGACAGAGAACAGGACACGAACTTGGGGGAGTTTAAATGAGAAATTCCGCCGATTTGAGGAATGGTGGCAACCTTGGTTAAATTCACGTACATGTATAAAAAGAGGAAAGATGCGAAACCGCAACACAAAAAACTTTAAACCCTTGCAAGTAAAGACATGTATTAATGAATGTAAAAAGGGTGTTATGTTTTTTTGTCAGGTCACTTTGGCTAAATGCAAAACTACGACGTTGCTGCAATTGCCCCTAATCAATAAAACAAATCTGATCCAATCTAAGATCTAATCCTTGAATATGGTGGGGATGGTATTCCATCTAAATGTTTTCTCTGAGAACAAGCCAAAGTGAACTCCAGGGGTACAGTGTCACTGTGGTTAAGGTCAATAATGCATTTGTGAGTAGCGATCGGGAAGTGGAATTCTTACTAACAACTGTAGGCCTACAGTCAGGTTATTGTTTTGCTTCTGTAGTTCTCCCACACCAGACAGTAGACTGTTAGATGTGCCTCCAATAGGCCTACAAACTGGCCTTGGGTAAGTTTATCCAAAGGTGTCTTGAAAATTGCAACTGTGCAAAATTTGGCTTTCCCAATTTGAGGAGGTTCATGTTAACACATTTTCATCCTCATCTCCATTGTAGGTTACATTTAACCCGTGCAATTTTTCAACACAAGCTTTGACTTCATTCCTCTCTGTGAGTAAACTGAAACGTTTGGGTAGAGGGCAGGAAGCGAAAGTGGAATGCTGCGTTGGAACCCACCCGAGGAGTTTCATGGATGCGGAAAAAATCGTAATCCTTCTAAGTGAAAACTGAAATTGTAAGAAGCCTGGCGCCTTGCAGTTGCCACAACCGTCTCGGATAATGAAATTCTGCAAATACTTTCAATCTGTCATTTCTAAATCGCTGGCATCCCACGACATGAGAAGTATATTCAGGGTCACAAGGCATGTATTCGAACTGAAAGGTGACACCAACACTTTGTATGACAAGCTAACCCACCTCGTACATTGCAATATACACTATACCTTGCGGCAAACCATACGCTTTCAATTTCTCCCACAGATTAGTCCTAAGACCAAGTTAATGAACAAATATTGACGGCGTGTGAAAAAAGAGTCTAATCTAATTCAATCTTTAAATCTCCAGTAGCGTGGTGCAGCCCTGCATCCTATGTTTTGCCCAGAAATTGGGAGATCGGTCATTCCACATTCAACTTCACTCGGCAAATGCAAAGCGAATTGCAAAACCACGTTGGATTAGCTGCGGTTATAAGCTTAAGGTCTACATTGCATTCTCAATTGTGACCAACTGACATGAATTCTAAAAAATCCCCATCCACTTGCAAGGAGCAGAAAATTAGACAAGCACTACAATTTTATTAAAAGCTTTGGTTTCCATCGACCTAAAATGCATGCCAAGCAATTTTGGTGATTTACACTCTGGACATCTGTAGGCTACACAATCAAAGTTCAAGTAAACTCTGAACACTTAAACATATGCAATCCCAAAAAGTCCAACGATGGTTTAGAATCCAACCTATGAGCAAGACTCGGAAGTTTTATGTAAAGGCTCCTGTCCCAGTTTGTGTTGTCACTCGCCACTATGGTTAAATAATAGTTTCGCACCATAATTATCCGTGTCCTGCATCACGCGTACTCTCAGGATAACAATTAATTTTAACAAATACATTTATGTCTCGCTGACTGTAGTTGCAATTCGAAAGGCCACAACTTCATCCAAAGCAAGCGTCGGGACTGACCCCTCGGTAGAGGGTGCGGCCTCTTTTGGCGAGTCCATTGCAGCTAATTAACGTTTAATTTGTTTTTTCGTCCAAATGCAACGACTATTTATCATATCCTACCCCAGTACATGCTGAAAAACCTGGTTTAGTCACTTCACAGCCAGGGCCTCCCCTTGCCAGAAAAAAAATTTAAAAATCCAGCCGGCCTTCAGCCAGCCTCCAGCCAATTCCCATAGGACTGAGTGCTAAGTGGTCCCTTGTGTACAATCTAATGGGTTGTTTACAAAACGGTGCCTGGGGCAGACAGTGGAATGTGTTTATCAGTGACGGCTGTCTGGAACTTGTCAGAGGCCTCTTTCGGCTGTCTTTGAAGTGTTATTTTGGTTGGGGTGTTGTGGTGGTGGTGTGGCTTGGCTGGCGCGTGGCGAGGGCCCCCTCAAATGGGGACAGCCTGGGAAAAGCCCCCTCACGGTACTGTGATGTGCTTTTGGGGGGGGGGGTTAAGAGCTGTAGAGGCTAGGGGACAACCACTGAAGCATTAATATACCTTTAGGACAGACTCAGGGCTCTGCAACCCTGAAAAATGAAACGGACTCAACGGAATAGTCCGCTTCCGAGAACGTGTGAGAAAAAATTCATACAGCGTCGCATGGTTAAGACATGTGGAAGATAAGCCAGAGGTCACAGGGGTTCAAGTAAAACCTAAGCACATTTCCCATCAGATTTACATATAATCTTAAGATTTATGAGGTTACAGTTGCCAAGGAAAACGTTTGAAGAAAATCGATGCCGCACGTTCATAAAAAGTGACTTATTAAAACTTCAGACATTCAGCTGTGTGCTAGTCCATCTTGACATGAATTCATAATTAAGACGGTTTACCCATTCGTATGGGTCGAGAGCCCATCACGTTGCCGGTCTTAAACGGTTTATAAAACACCAGCCAGCAAAGGAAGTGTCCCCTACATGGCATACATGTACATGTCCCTTCGTTAGAAACATCGACAATTTAGGGACTTTTAATCACAACTGAAGACTTTCCTTTTTAAATGATTTTAACTGAGATTATTTAGTTTTATTTACTATAACGGTTGTATTTGGAGTGTTGACGTATAATCTAACTTGATTTTAAATTTAACAGTTATTTATGTATCGTACCTATACATTTACTAATTAACCATGTATTATTTTTCAAAATAGTTTGTGAAACTATTATCATTAATTTTTTACTGCGTTTAATTAACGATTCATTTAAATGGTCTTATTATTATTCTCATTGTCCAGGTTTGGCCTCTGGTCTTTATTACGACTTCCAAGGTCTAGCCAGTCGGAAACATAGTTGTTTAAGAATTTATTCCCGGATTAAAAATATGCGCAAGTTGAACTTACAACCAATGCAATTGGTGGTATACTTCCCATTTTGTGAGTTTTGGCGAGTTAGTTGCATGCTACTTTCTATTGTGCCTGTGGCAGAGTTGACGGTACTCACCGTGTTATTGTTGGAGAGGCATTTGGCTAGGCATCTCGCTCGACACAAGACGTCCGCCCTAAATGGGTCCAGAGGGGAAGTGTCCCTCCCGAAGGGATGCTCAGCCTGGCTTTCGGCACTGTGGGGGTATTCACTTGGTGCACGTCTTGTCTCACAATGCAGAGGCAATACGATAATAAACCACACAAGTAGTACCATGACTGGAGGACAGGCCGTGGGGACTGAATCCCAACTGGAACTATTGGGCCTACTGACTCGCTTTCTGTGTAAGCAAAAATGTAATAATGTTTTATTAGCCCAGTTTGTGTAAATTTCATGATGACGCGTTTAGGCTTCAGGTGTTTGTTACCTTGATACAGTCTGCCATCTTTTTGTAAGTAATACAGGTATTTTTTTCTGCTACACTATGGTTACTGCTTTTAGATCAAAAACAGTGTTGGAGTTAATAGCTGTACATCACTAGTGCTTGACACGAAGCCATGTAAAATGTATGCCTACATATTTTTCGATGATATTCTCTTGGCCACAAGCGTGAAATTGTGAAAAGCATGTAGTAGAAAAGAATGCCCATATCAAACACGGACTGTCGTGAAAGACTCATAGAAGAGGTTAATGGAAGATAGGTGAGTGCAAATGATCATTTCCATACAATTATTCGACTCCGAGGATTATGGAGTCGGTCCTGATGGCACCATTTTTTGCCAAGAGCCCTGCTGAAATCTTATAAACTCCTTGTATAAATGAAATAGTTGACTTTCAGTTCTTTTAAATGCTTAAAGCATTTTTTCTTTTGGGAAGGTGAACAAGTGTTAAACCATCTACGGGCTATAATTTTAAGAAAATTGCTTTTGCACGAAACAGTGGTAGCCCAGAGGCCCGACACTTCAGAACAGGTGTTAAAAGGAATATCCATCCAACCAATCCGAAAATATCTAAATACTACTATTTTACTTCGCATGATAAGTACAAAACAATTCTTTCCACAAAGACTGGCATGGGATACGCTATGACGCTGTAGGAAAGGCATGATGTGTTCAAACTCATTCCAATTAAGTGACAGTTTTTCCTATATTCATATGGAATCAAAACCTGATGCAAACATCATGTAAATTAAGCTGAACAAAATAAAATACAGGTCGTACAGGGAACAAGTGCTTCAACCAAAAAACTCAGTGTAATGAAACAGATATCAATTCTAAACTAATTAAAGAGCACCTCTGAGAAAAATGTGTTTTCCCTGATTTTATCTGTTCAAATAAATATGGAAGCATCCAAATCAAACGCAGTCATTTGTCTTCAGAACTCAACTATCACAGAGTGAACAGAGAAAACATGTTTTCCTTAGAGGTGCTCTCTAAAGCCTTATTACACTTTCAACTGTAATTAATTTCATTATTTTAAAAAGCCTAGCCCCACATTTGTTTCACAAGTATTCCTGCTCTCAGAAACAATGTGATAAAAATTGCCCTTTGGTTTGGTTGAGCGCTACCCGACATTCTCTGAACAATTGTTTTCCAGGTCTGAATAAAACTGATACTCACGTAGAAAAATCCAGTTCCTTGTAACCACAAGCGCATTAGTCGGTCGGAAAACACGCCATGGCTGTCCGAACACCGACGCTGGAGAAAATAAGCATCTGATGCAAGAAGCAAACCTGCCTGAGATTTATGATCCACTGAGGGAAAGGCAGATGGTTTGTAATCCTCATCGCGTCACCCAGAAACCTGTTGAAGACTGTACGTTGCTGCACACATCATCAGCGTCTCAGAAACTCGGTGTAGATTGGCTGATGGAGACGATTCATGTTATTATGCGGGGGGAGTGATTGGACCGCACCAACGATTGACTTGTTGGCCCAGGATTGTGCAAACTGTTGTGTTTCACAGCCAAACTTATCATTGTTGTAGATGTTGAAAGAGAGAGAAAAGTATTGGTGATGTTGTTAATCAGCCATGTGGGCAATTCCTTCCTCCATGATGAGAATAAGGCATATAGCTAGAAAACGATGGGTGGAGCTTAAGGGGTGAGAGTCACGCGCCAACTCAAGGTGTATATTTGCTATTGGCCTCTTGGCTGCGGCGGATGATCGGATGCTTGTCAGTACAGGGTTCTCTGTAACCCAATTTGTTGCAAGTTGACTCACGCACTGACGGATTGTCACAAGTACATGTACCCTAGGCCTACAGTACATATACTGCCCGCAAAGAATGCTCCAACCTGAGCTGCCGTGGTTAAAAACGAAATCACAACGAGCAAACACCTCAATATATACCCAATACATTTTGCGAATTGGAACGAAATAACTGGAAAGTGAAATGTAAAAACAGAATGAATTATAGAAAACAGGTTAGGTCAAGGGTTGGAAAAGAAAATGACCTCCTTTCTGTAGAAGCGCTCATTTGAACGTAAATAAGGTGGAAAGTCGTAATTTCGCAGCAAACTCTGACGTGTTTTACAAGGCATGCTATTTATTGTAATAGTAGCATATTCTCAGTGCTGAGGGGCCAAAACTCAGGAAATAATAAATTTTTCCGATATCTTTTCAAGTGCCTTTCCAAAAAGTCTAATAAATTCCTTTCACATATTAATTTATTTAAAAGACTAAAACAACTTCAGCTGCATGTACATGCACATAAAGAACAGTACATGTACTTACAGCAAAAGAACACTGCGAGGATTTCTATCCTGATTTACTTGGGTAACACTTTTAACTACTTCAACTACTTCAGTTCTAGGTTACTCAAGTTTATCAAAACACTTAGCGGCCACTAAGCCCGAGTCCATGTAGTGACACTTCCTTTCAAATGTGATTGGAACAAATGGACTGTATACAACTGTATAAACTTAGACAATGTGACTGTCCTGTAACGGTAATGCGCGGTCCATTTTCCTGCTTTTTATTCACAAGACTGGGGGATGCAACGTGACAACTGATTCGCCGGAAAGTGGACTATAGCGCAAGTTATGTCCTGCTAAAGCAGAGTAGTCAATTAATCAATTATGCGACGGGTCGGATGTGACATGATTCATGAAACAAGCTACTCAGAAATGGAACAGATTACAAAAACAATTTTTTTCCCAGTGAAACCAAAGCAGTATGAATTACACATGTAGTGTCTGAAAAAAAGTAGGTTTAACTAAATAGCTGCACAATTTCAATTAAAGTGTGAAAAATATCAAAGCCCACTTTATAAGAGTCAATACAATACCATATGATATTAAAGGAATCTGGGAATAGAAATATATTTATAAAATTTCACTAAAAACCCTTTAAATTGCATCTTTGTGTTTCAGTTAACTTTATTTTAAATTTTTGTTTTCCTATTGTAACCAATACTTTGATGCTTTTTGTTTTATGCTAATGTAATTTGCATATTCATGAGCAGAACTATGATGTTATCCAAGGTACTGAAATCTCAATGTTGCACTGATTTGTGCACAAAATAAATTCTAGATTTTTGTAACCATTGCTAAAGCAGATTTCATTTTTCTTTGGATATTTATTGCTGTGTAAGTATATGGCAATATTCCAGCAAAAATCCTTTCCTCAGAAATGTTCCAAGATAGCAACTTTGGGGTTCACAATTTGAATATAAGAACATGCAACCTGAACCATGACCGTTTTCCAATACTCAACTTCGGCTCCGTCTCAGGCTTCAGCTGTTTATTTTTTTTTTACTACCTGACTTTGAAGCTAGAAGCGCAATAATTAGTCTAATGGTGCCGCAAAACATCAAATATGATGCAAGAGGGCCAAAAATCACAGAAATCCAATTTTATGGAAACGCCTCAGGCCCACAATCGGGGATTGGTTTCGGGGAAGAAGCCTGAGACGGAGACAAAGTTGAGTATTGGAAAACCGCCCATGTCTTCCTGGATTTACATCACAGCAAAAGCGCCCTCACTTGTCCAGAAATGCCTGATCAATTTTTAATGTTTGAAAAAGTGAACCGTTCAGTTCACGTAACTCAGAAAGATGTCAAAAAGTCTTCATACGTAGAAAAAGAGTACAGAGATACACAACAGGTGATTCTAAGAAAAAATCATTTCCTTGATCCTTTAACTGCGTATTCTTAGTATGAACAAGATACCGCCAGACTGTTGGGTGGTAATTTATCATGTAATTTTATTGCAGTTTTATTTTGTAAGCCTACTTTATGTTTGAATCCCTTCCTATTACTGGCAGTTTACTATTGCTGGTTGGTGATAATAAATAGCCTTTATATAAATAGATGTTACAGAGGAGTCTAAATACACTCGGCTGCCATTCACCGTTTGCACAGACTGCAGTACTAGAACCAAAAGAGTCCATTTAGATAGTTAACTCTAGTGCAGCCTCCCTTTCAATCCGCTACAAAAGTTCTCCAATGAAGGGCATAAAAAGAAAGACTTGCACTTGCGAAATTCCTCCCAAGTCCCAGTCATAAGAATCTATTTAGGCGGTGCTCTGTTAAAAAAAAACGTTGGTTTCTTTAGAAGCCCGTCAAACGAATAAACCAAACAGTCCGACAACAAAAACAAATTAGGCCGACTGGTCTATCAACAAAACATTTTAGAATGTATACAGTTTGTAGGATCCTAAATTTCACTATTTTCCCATCTGACTTTCAAACAACTTTATTATAGCACCCAAGATTTCAGGAAAAACTCAGTGAGTTCAGAAAATACAAATTTTAGAAAACAAATCACTCTACATCTCTTCACAAAAAAGTATTGTCTCTTTTTGGTTTGTCACGAGAGAATTCAGTGTTTCTTCACGTCAATTCCTCGTTTCTGCAACAAAAGCCTCATTGTACTACAAACATTCCCTTCAACATGCCTCTTTCCCGTACGGTCGTTTATTCCTTGTCTTATTGTTTCCTTTGTCACTTATCGATAACAAGTCTGTATTAGGTTGCACTTCTTGAATCTTAACTGGGGTCAGCGTCCACATAAATAACGATAGGATATCCCCTGGCTTTGTAACCTTGCGCCAGAGTCTGATTTGAATTCATATCCGATTGCGTCTGTTTGGACAGTGAAATGCAAAGATATGATTTTTTGACATCAATCATTTGATGTATTTATTAAGATGAAAAAGGACGAAACTGAAAGATGACTCGAACTTAAACTAAATCTGAAAAGCTTAACAGAAGAAAAAGGACCAACAAGCGCGTACCATAGACGTTAAGAAAAAATGAAACCATAAGGACCCTTTCTAATAAGATGCCTGTTCATCATTAGGTGATGCAGGCATTCAGACATTGTAATAACATCCTGCAATGCCAGACAAGCCTGAACCACTTTGAGTAAAAGTCAAGTACCGAAAGGCAATATGTCTGGGAAGAAAGAAGTCCTGTGCGTTTCCTTCCAGCTTAGCATTCTGAATTGACATTTAGAACCTAGCAAATAAAGTTTTATTCAGCTCATACTTAATAAAAGTATAAGCGTGAAATTCTGAATTGAGATTACGCGTATCACCGAAAATGCTGTTTAAAAATGAGACTGCATGGTTGGGTCCAGTGACCGGTGAGTAATTGCTGATTATCGGAAGTTGAGACCTGCTGATAAGTGAAATGACTTTTGAAAAAACACCTTGTGAAATTATTCGGTTTTCTTGACGACTATCTGGAGGAATACCGAATGTTACCATGGTTTTCTCGGCTAATTCCCGGAAATGTGTAAATGAATTAGTAATAGCTTTCGTTTTTGAGCGACATAGAACGAACATTCATATCCCCGTTTCTATTTAACAAATAAGAATCAACGTTCAATTTCCCGATATCGCACAAAATTGAATACACCTCTGCAACCCTGAATTCATTTTAATTTGAACTTATTTTTGCAACATATGCAGGCAATTTCGCGCGAAGTGTTATTTAAAGTATGCCTGGTCAAGAATTGGAATTCGTTTGTGTGCTAACAGAAGTTACATTCTTAGAAGGGTTTAGTTGATTCGTTAAATGTTGGAATATTTGTGATTGAAATAAGCCATTCATGCTGTCTTTGGAAAGACAAATGTACGAATCCTGTATGAACATCGACGCTGGTGGAACCTTCCTTCTTGTGCTACGTTTTTGTCACGATCGTATCGTAGAGATGCACAGGTTTATACAGGCGTTCTTGCCATGGCTGAACGGGAAGATACAGATTAATGATTAAGACCTTAATTGTGTAGTTTGATAACATACACACTGTAATGCTTATTCATCATTATCAAAAAGGTGTCATACATGATTCGTGTAACCTTAAATATTCTTATCAAATTGAACGTATATTTTGCGAATTTGATTTACAGCAAATGAAAATGAATGCACATTTATGCACGTTTTCTACTTCCACCCATGCAGATAAAAATCCAGTACTGTATCAAATACTCTCGGCTTGACTTTCGGCTCAACATGCTACGAAGTCATACAGATTTGATGAAGAAAAATTGTACGTGGGTTCATTTCACCACTTCAATGTGTAAAATTCAGTACCGTTCAATAATATTAATATCAAATAACATATTACATTTTGAAGCTAAGATATCTTCTTCCAGGTGATTTACAAAATTTTTTGTGTGAACAATGTGAAAAAAAATGTTTCGGATAAAAATACGGTATCCGTATGCTTCAAGCAACGAAGTAGGTTCCCCTGTGGAGAGTTAACTTAAAAAGAAAAAGGTTGTGAATAATGCACGGGTCAATTTCAATACAATGGTACAATGGTGAATACGACAACTAATGAGCACGTTCTCTTCAAGTAACGCAAAGGCTTTCACATGAAGCTAACCTCTGATTTTAAAAAAATCAAAGTACACGAAATATTTGATACATATATTTGCTCATAGGTTCAAATTTTCCCTAGATGAAATCTTTTAGCAAGTAAGCGACAACGAATGAGGAGTACATGGACAGACACAGAATCCCCCAACAAAAGGCACGAGGTTTGGGGGGTTTTTTTTTGTTA